CTGATTCCCACTTTATGGCACCCACCTTGCTCCAACCTCCCCTTTTTATGGTTTTTGAGCTATGTAACAGCAGTACAAAATGCATTTTGTCATGTCCCTATGTTTCTGTGTATGTGTGTGTGCGTGGGTGTGTGTGTGCGTAGTGTGTATATGTGTGTCAGAATGCGTTTTGTCCCGCACTTTCAACTCTGGAACAACAAAAGCTAGAAAGCTGAAATTTTAGAAGGATGTTTCCCACCCAAGTGCGATTCCTCAATTTAAATTGAACTTTACGTACGCCTAGATCTCACATATGGCCGCCTTTTGAAAGTTTTGGCGGGAAAAGTTACAGTCTCGGGAGCTGCAGAGCTAGAAGATTGAGATTTCAGGAAAATGCTTCCTGTCTGTGCAGGGATCTCACAAACTCATATTTAGCTCCCGAGTGCGCCAAGAGTTCACTTACGGCCACGAGAAAGATATGGTGTTTTTGCAGATATGGTGTTTGTTTTCGTCCGAAGAGCAGCTCCCAATATTGCACGAGTTTTGTCAAAAGATTGTACCAGATCGGAGCCATCGACCAGCTGCGCAAGAATTCTGCAGAGCACCAGGCGGTCACTTGCCGCCACCGGTACCCTACGGCATCCCGGCTATTATGCATTGTGAGTTTTTCCCGCATCAAACAAACTCTGCTTTTTCTCGTCCTTAGGAATATCATTGCCGGCATTCTGTTTTTTTCGGTTGAGATTTTTTTTTTTTCCGTGCCCATCCTGAATTTTTTTCTTTGCTGTGTTTGCTTGGAAAAGAGGCTGCTTTAACAAATATGTCCTTAGGGATATCATTGCCGGCATTCTGATTTTTTTTTTCGGTTGAAATCTTTTTTTTTTGTGTCCAATCTGAATTTTCCTTTGCTGTGTTTGCTTGGAAAAGAGGCTGCTTTAACAAATATTTCCGTATTCAAGCTTGTTTTATCCTTGAATTTTCCATCGCAATTTTAATCCTTGTTGTTCTCGTACTCCCTATGTTCTAAGGATCCCAATACCTGTGATCATTTAAATTATCAGTGACAGTGATCGTTTAAATTATCATTACAAGTACATTTTACCTGGGTATTTGTTGGTTCCTGGTTCGGTTCGCCACGTATGCAGTCCACTTTTCTAACTGCTTTGATTAGTATAGCATTGTCTGATGGCCAATCTGCTAGTGATGTTAACATTCGTTTTAATTTCCGATTGCCAGCTTTTTTTTGGGATCATCGCCGAAATAGTAAAACAGAAAATCAGATGTTTTTTTTATT